GATATCTAGATGTTTGCGCACAGAGGTTCGCGCACAAGCATTATGTGACATAGATACGTGATCCTGCTTGTGCGTGATTGCTTGTATCTAGGCTGCGACGCTGCTGCTGCGTACAGACACTAGTAACTTTTCTTTTTATTTAAAAAGTTACCTTCTATATATGTTACCTTCCTTCTGTTTATGTAAGTTTATCTAATTATATTCTGCCTTTACTTTACTTTATTTATTAGGACTTGCCTTAGTAATGCTATGCGTTAGGATAGGCTAGTTATGCTATATAAATAGCTTTTTTTTCTTTATCCTTTACTTTCTAAGCCCTGCTGTATAATCCCCTAGCTCTTTTTTTTTTATATAGTGCTAACAGTAACAGATCCTTATAATAAAAAAAATAAGTGTGTATAATATAAAAAAAAATAAAAAAAAATAAAAAAAATAAGTTTTATATAAAAGTGTTATTAGTCTAGTTAGTCTAAGGCATCTTTACACATAAGATCTAGCTAGTCTATAGATGCTTTTATCTAGACAGAGAGGCAGTTAGTTAAGACTAATAATTAAAAAGCTTAGTTTAGTGTTTTTTTATACATATATTTACTAAGTTGTCTTTACTATTAATCTACTTTATTTTAGTAATTTCCTTTTTTTTATATAATTTATAAAGTAACATAATGTTAATTATAAGTTGCTTTTTACTAGTAGTGCTTAGCTTAATAAGGTAATTATATAAAAACCTTAAATTTATGTAAATTACTACTAAGATTAGTAGCAGTTTAAGTGTTTATATAATTTACTATAAAGTTATACTAAAAGTAATTACATTATTAAACTTTTTAACTATTTTATATAGTTTACTAGTAAGAACACTCTTAGTTACTTTTTTACACTTAGTAGAATTTTAGTGTATAATGTTGCCTAGTATTTTAAAGTAGTTGCTTTACTTTATATAGTTTTTATTACTTAATATAATTAAAAATTCTAGCTATAAGCTAAAGTCTTTATTATTAGTAAATAATTTATTTATAAAGATAAATAGCTTTACATAATTAAGCTGTAATAGTAGAAAGGTAAGACTATACTTGTCTAAATAGTGATATTTGGGCGCCTAGTTAATAGTCACGTGGCTTAGATGCGCCTAGATCCCTGTGCACAGAGATCTGTGCGCAGAGTTTAGGACTATATCAACCCCTTTCCTTTGTACAATAGAAAATAACAAGAAGCAATTAACACTAGTTACCTAACACCCCTGTGCAATGTTTACACTGTGTAAACCTCTCTGTCTTGTACGCATTTGCTAACACTAAGTGCTAGCTAGCAGAGAGTCTATTTAACACTAATTAGTAGTTTAAATACTATAAAAAAAGAAGCTCTTTTTATACCTTTCTATTTAAAAGTTTATGTATAAGAAGAATTTTTTTCCTTACTACTTTAACTGTAAATTAGTAAGAGTAAAAATAAAGTCTAATTTACATGCAAGTAGCTATAAATTTTTATTTAGTTACCTAAGTAAGAGTAAGAAACTTGTCTGTATAATACTGTTTAAAGGTATTATATAAATAGTAGTGCTTGTTTAATGCTAAAAGGTCTATTTTATCTTTTCGCACAAGGCTATTTAGAGGCAGCGTACAACAAGAAGTAAGACAGCGCGCAACAACGCATAATTAACTACTATAGAGCAATAAGCAACACTAGCTCTATCTATAACTAGCTAACATAATGTATTAACATATAACTAATATATACCTTTTATAGGCATCTTAGTAAAGACCCTAGCAGAGTAGATAAACATTAAAAATTAAGTAAATAAAATTAAACTATTAAATAACATACTTAAAAAAAAGCTTAATTTATACACAGCTAACTTAATTATAAAACTCTACATGTTAAGCATAATAGATGTATATACACTTAAAAACTTTTAAGACAACTTTATAAAGTAAAAGCTTATACACTTTAGAGATCTTAGCTAACTATTTTTATAAAAACTAATTACTACCTTATAGAATAAAGGCATTAGCTTTAAGAAGGACATAATAAAGGCTACTACACTATATAGACTTATAAAAGAAGAACACATGTTTACTATTTTACTAGAGTATTATATAAAACTATTACTACTATTGCTAGTCTTAATGTAATAAAGGATGTCTCTGTATAAATTACCTATAGACCTAATACTTCCTCTACAATTAGTACAACTACCTTGTGATAGCTTACTATACAAGAGCACAACTAGGCAGCTACATATTCCTGTAGCTACAGCTCTGCATAAGATTCCCTAAAGCTTATACCTACTATATATAATTTAATTACTATATAATCTATACTAACTTCTACCTATATAAGATATTATAGCAAAGAACCTTGCGCCTAAGAAGGTTATATAATTCTAGAAAGCATAGAGAAAGAAGAACAACTATATAAGGTAACTATATAATATTTTAGCTAATAAGGCTATAGTATTTATTAAGCTCTGCTAACACCTTACTATTTTTAAGGCATTATATGTAAGCATCTTTCCTAATATTCTTAAAGAGCGCGCACACATGTTCTACCTTTATAATATTAGTCTAGGACAATTATAGAAGTTACTATATAAGCAGCTTAGTAATTACTTTAATACTAACATAAACTATAACTAGTATTAGACAGATTAAATAATAATAAGCTTTATATAAAGTAAGTAAAAAAACTTTATAAAAACTTTATATAAAGCTTTTAAAGCTATAATTAATAAACTTACTTTTATATAAAAAGCTTTTAGTCTATAATTTTAAGGTAAGATACTACTTTACACTACTATTATATAAGCATGCTAAGGGCAACTTAAACTTAAATAAGTAATGTTCTTAATTAAGCCTACATATAAGGCACTATACAGTAACCTTTATTTAGCACTTTAGGTTATAATTAATTAATAGAATAATGCATTTATAAATAAATCCTAAAACATGTACTACACTAATAAGTAATATAGCTTACTATGTACATATAGCTATTAACAACATAGAAGAAGCTTAAGGGGATATAAAAGATTATTTAGACTATAGTTCTTTACATAATTAAAGTAATACTTTATTTATTATAAAAAAAATATTAGTTAATAAATTATCTTTATATAAATTAATTTTATGTAAAACACTAATATATCTCTTTATATAAAGAATTCTATAACAAGACACTAACATATAAGAAAGTAAATATGTACATTTAAAAGTTTAAAGGTAAACTAGAGTAAAAAAAAAAAGTTACATAATAATAATAACTTAAATAAAAAAAAAGGTAAGAAGATTATTAACTACCTTACTAATGCTACATTTCTTTACTGCGTAACTGCAGAGGACATCTACAGCCTAGAACCTAAAGGATACGCAGAACAGTTTATCCTTAAAGATTAATACTATACAGTATACTAAGGTAAACTATAAAATACTAGTGCAGTAAGAATCTCTACTATAAGAAAGTTATAACTTAAAGCATACCTGCAAAAATTCCCTTATATAAAAGTAAACTAGACACTAAAGAAAAAAAGTATTAGCTTTAAAAAATAAGAATTAATAAAATTAATTAGTACTATATAAATTACTAACCTAGTTAGTAATATAACATATTACATTCTAAACACCCTAACACTGTTCCTACTGTCTCTAGCAGACGTAGACTAAATAGGTGTGTACTTTAACAATGTGCAGAATGTAATTATATAAAGCAATAAAAATACTGTTTTAGTTATACAAAAATAAAGTTATCTATTCTTTAATATATAAAAGAAGAAATTAATGTTTTTTTTTACTAAATGCAAACTTTAATAACTGCATAGAAGATTTAGCTATCCTTATATAAAACAACTTCACATAATGCTTAAGAATGCTAGACATAACATTAATCTCTTTATACTTAAGAAGATTAAGAAGTTCTGCTATATATGTTAGCTACACAACCTAGCACTATAAAAATTTAAGTTTATAATTAAGAACAACTTACACTTTAACTATAAGATAGTAATTAATGTTATATAAATTAGTAACTAAGACATACTACATGTAATTAACATAGATACATTATTCTAAGCAGCAACCTTCTTAAAATTAATGTCTGCATAAGATACCTAAGACGTGCTTTATAAGTGTTAGATTAACATGTACTAAGGCTTACCTAATTATATTATACATAACTCTAGTATAAACTTTGCATCTAAAAACTTCTAGAATTACATAAAGATTATAGGAGCAACATGTTAACAGATGCTAGTAGAGGCCTATTAGGCTCTAGGGAAGATTAAGCGCGCGCACGCACTACTGCGATGTGCGTACAATATCCTCTGTGCAGAATTAGATAATTATACAAACAATAAGTTAGTGTTATAGATAGCTATTAAAGCCCTAAATAATATAGTAAGACTAAACAGTCTTATACTTATATTGCTTATGTTTAAAATGTACCTAAAAATTAACATAGATTCTGCACTATCCCCTAATATTATTACGCAAGCTAATGCTATACAAAAGGTAATAAAAATGCTTTAAAGTAAAAAGGTAAAAGTTAATATTAATTATATAATTAATACCTAAAATAGCTTAACTTTATATAAAGTACTAAACCTTCTACTTAGTTCTAAAGTAAAAACATAGTAAGAGAAGAAGAGATAAACAGGACTATATATAGTAAAAGAAATTAAGGCCTTAGATGTTATTATTAAGATAAAGAATAGTCTAGTAAGACTCTACTACACATAAGTTATGCTATATTATTATATAAAGGATAAAGATAAACTTACATAAGAATTACTAGATCTAGATAAACTAGCCCTAGTATAAAGGGATTCTTTATAGGCATAAAAGAGAGGTTGCCTACACAAGCAACTAACTCTAGTTAATAGACTACATAAAACAGCCCCTTAAGCAGTATTAGATTTATTATATAAACTAGAACTAGAACTATAGCTAGCTAAAAAAAGCTAAGAGAGACTATATAAAAATCTACAGGCTACAACATTTCTAACCTAAAAGGAAAAAGAAGACTACGCGCTAGCAATTAAGCTCTGTGTAGACAGTGTAATTATAACACCTAGAAGACTATTTAAAGAATTAGACTGTACAAAAATAAAAAGTTTAATTATAAGTAGCATATTTAAGGTACTTTTATATAATTTATTAATTTATAAAGGACAGATCTTTAACCTTTAACTTATATATAAAGTTAAAAGAAAATTAATAAAACTATATAAAAAGTTATAACTTATGTTTATAAAATATTTAGATAAAAAGAAAAAAAAGATCTTTACATAGTCTCCTATAATTTAAAAAATAAGTTAGAGGTTAATTCTAGCTATTAGCTTATTACTAATAGCTTTATATAACATGCACTATAAACTACACAATATTACTTAGGCATATGTATAATTAATAGATAAGCTTGTTTACACTTTCTTTGCATAACTACTAAGAGAACTCTGTAAAAGCTTCTCTCTACACATAATATTTAGAGTTGTATAACTACTATACAGCGTAGCAGAGTTAGGCTTATATTAGTTTAAGACATACTATAACTATTATAAAAATAGACTTTTTATAAAAACCTTATTATATAATCTATACTTATTAATTACACATAAAGGCCTAATAGTGTTTAGTATTATAGGACTATAAACAGATAATACCTTTAGTATTATTACAGCTAATTTTATATAAAGAGAGGAAAAAAAATTACTTAAAGCTAACTTTTAAGTAAAGCCTAAAACTATACTATTACATAATTAAGCTATTAAATTTAATAAAAGAAAGATTTGCTTTATATAAAATAATATTATTCTTATATAAAAAGGTTAAGCTAGGAATCTACACACAATAGAGTCTAAGGTAGAGGATGCTGCGCAGAAGTACGTCAAACAGCGCGCGCGAGGTGCCTATATCGCATTAGTATGTCAACCTAAGGCAGCATTTAACCTGTCTACTGCCGCTTAAGTTGTGTTGCTGTTGTACAATAATATTAAGGCATTAAATGTACAAATCTAATAGCAAATTAATAACTAGAATAAAAGATTATTATACATACTACTTAATTTCTTTTATATAAAGTTGTTTATCTTTACTAATAAATTATTTATAAATAATAAGAACTTAAGTTTATAGCTTAGCTTCTTTATTATTCTTAGAATAAAGCAGCGCACTAAGAACTTATACAACTTTAAAATTATAAGTAATATTATACACTAGAACTTCTTTAAGTGTAAACAGGTTACCTGCTCTGTACTAGCTAGTAAATTGTATAGAATAGTAAGAGGATTTAACTGCGTAATTGCACTAAGCATAACAATTAACTAGATTACACATATGCTTAGAATACCTCCTGTACCTATTGTACTATGCACAGATTTAAGATCTTTATATAAATGTCTTATAAAGCTTAGGATAATAAATAAGAAGAGACTTATAATTAATATTATGTTAATTTAAGAATTATATAAGAAAAGGGAGATTATAGAGATTAAGTAGATTAATAAGAGAAACAACTTTATAAATGCTTATATAAAGAAGGCGCTAAACTTTGCTTTTAAGGAACTAATTTTATATAACTAACTAACTGTTAGAGTTAAAGCATTAGTTAATAGACTTAAGCCTATATAAGATAGGTAAAAAGGGCCCTATAGTAACCTGTCTACTGTATGTGTAAATAAGGCAAGTCTTATATAAAGGAAAAATAAAAAGTTGCTAATGTCTAAATAGTAATATTTAGGCGCCTAGTTAATAGTTATGTGGCTTAGATGCGCCTAGATCCCTGTGCACAGAGATCTGTGCGTAGAGTTTAGGACTATATTAACCCTTTTCCTTTGTACAATAGAAAACAACAAGAAGCAATTAACACTAGTTACCTAACACCCCTGTGCGATGTTTACACCGTGCAAACCTCTCTGTCTCGTACGCATTTGCTAACACTAAGTGCTAGCTAGCAGAGAGTCTATTCAACAATACTTACTATTATTTATCTACTATTAGATTTATACATTAAGTATGTTAATATTATTATGTAAAAGGTCTATAGTTTATGTAGTAATAGATAAGTTAAATACTGCCTCTAGTTAACATATAAATATAATGTATACCTTTTTTGCATATTGCTTAATATATTATTATACAGCATTTTTATTTTCTAAGTTAATTATATAAAGGTAGCTTACTTATCTTTTTTAAGTAAAAACTACTATATTATGTGTAAGTTTAATCTTTTTACTATTAAACTTAATAAGCTGCTTTTTTACTAAAATAGTTTTACTTTTTATATAAAACTTTACTTTTTATAGTTTTTTTTTTCTTTTTACATAAAATTTTTTATTATAATGCTTAAAGTGTTGTCTATTTATAGGCTAGTAATACTAAAAGTATGCTCTCCTTTATTAGTAATTAAAAGGTAAGAGTTATATAAAAAGATATACATGCATAGCTTTTTTTTATAGTAGTTATAATATATCTTAAACTAATACAGTCCTAATTTAGTAGCTCTATATAAGGGTTATACAACCTAGAGTATTATATTTAGTAGAAAGCTTTAGCGCATCTTCTTTAGTAGCTTTATATATAGTGTGCATATAAGCTTATCTATTAATTAGATGTATACTTATATAATATTACATAGTTTAAAATGCATTTTATATATAGCTTTTAGGCTTACTTTTATAGCTAAAAGTAGTCTCTAGCTTATTCTCTAAATAGTTAGTAACTAAGTAAAGATTTCTTTTTTCTTTTTATCTAAGTAGCTAGTAAACACTAAGCAGGATTTCTTATATAGTTAAGTTATTTTGCCTTTTACTTTTTATATAAAGTAAAGGTTAAAAATCTAACTTTTATGCTTTATTAAGTTATACACTATAACTTTAAAAGTGCTATTAGTAATTAAAGTGTTTATTTTTATATAGTCTAATTTCTTAAATAGTTTTCTAAGTATAGTAATTACACTATTTATATAAAGCTTAATAAATAAGGCCTAATTATCTTTTTCTTTTTAGGTTAGAAATACCTAGTTTAGACTTTATGCAGGTTTTCTTTGCCTTTTACTTTTTCTAGTATCTATATTTTCTCTTTACACTAGTGCAGCATTGCTATTCTAAAGGGCTTAGTCTGTAGTAAGCTTTAGTTCTACCTTTATAACATTTTTATAAAGCTGTTTTTTTTTCCTTTTCTTTAAAAAATCTTTTTATATAAGAATTAGTTTATTTAGGTTATTTATTATAAGTAAGTTATTTTTTTTTTATAGTATAGTTTAACCTATATATATTAGAGCTTTAGTAGGCTATTTTTTTTTTTAATAATAATGTTTTTCCCTTTAATGCTTTTAATCTTGTATAGGCTAGTTTAGCCTTTTTTCTCTCTTTATGCTATAATCTTTAAGCTAAGGGGGAGGTTAAGAACTTTATATGTTATAAAGCTATTATAAGTGTTAATTATATAATTAATATTTACTTTTATATAGTTTTTTTAAAGTATCTTTATTACCTTTTATATAGCGCTTGCTTATATAATAATGTCTAGTAATAGTAGAGAGTTTAGGTTAATTTTTAGGTATGCTCTAAAGACTAGCAGCGTGGGTACTAGACTGTGTAGGCTAGCTGTGTTGTTTAGAGCCTTAACTGCTATCTATAAGATAGCCTTATTATCTGTACAGTTACTTAGCTTAGTCTTTAAGATGTTAAACACTTATTAAAAAAGTATATATGCGCGCTTAACTTTTCTAACTGCCTAATGTGCTTCTACAGGCATCTGCCTATATGTAGCTTCTATAATTTTTGCATAAGCTTAAAAATCTTTTAAAGTAAAGTTTATACTAAAGTTATGCATAATATAGTTTAAAGGTTTTTAATAAGTGTTAATCTAGCATTTACATAGTGCATTCTAGGTATCTTGTGTAGACATAAATTTTAGAAATATAGTAGCCTAAAATAATATGTCTATATTAATAACATGTAAAACATCCTTATTATTAATTTATATAATATTAATAATAACTTTATAGTTAAAGTAAGTGTTATTTTTAATTATAAACTTAAATTTTTATAAAGCCTAGTTATATAATTAGTAGAGGTAGCAGAACTTCTTAATCTTTTCTAGCACTATAGCATTAATATTGTAGCTAGCGCTAGTTAGCATCTTCTAAAGTCTCTTTATGTAGGGGTGTCTAAATTAGCAGTAGAGGCAGTAAAGTTTTAATTTAGTAAAGAAAAACATAAATTCTTTCTTACTAATATTAAAAAAAAGTGTCTTTATTTTTATATAATAAAGACAGTAGTTTTGTCTTTACATATAATAACATTTAAAATGTTATTAAAGTATGCCCTAAGTTAGTTAGCATCTGCTAGTAATAGCAGAAATAGTGTTAGAGTTTCTAGGATGTAATACATTACATTACTAACTAGGTTAGTAATTTATATAGTACTAATTAATTTTATTATTTTTTATTTTTTAAAGCTAATACTTTTCTTTCTTAGTGTCTAGTCTACTTTTATATAAAGGAATTCTTATAAGTATGCTTTAAGTTATAACTTCCCTATAGTAGAAATCTTTACTATGCTAGTATTCTATAGTTTACCTTAGTATACTATATAGTATTAATTTTTAAGAATAAACTGTTCTATGTATCTTTTAGGTTCTAGGCTGTATATGTCCTCTATAGTTACGCAGTAGAGAAATGCAGTATTAGTAAGGTAGTTAATAATCTTTTTACTTTTTTTTTATTTAAGTTATTATTATTATGTAACTTTTTTTTTTCTACTCTAGTTTACTTTTAAACTTTTAAATGTATATATTTACCTTTTTATATGTTAGTGTCTTGTTATAAAATTTTTTATATAAAGAGATATATTAGTGTTTTATATAGAATTAATTTATATAAAAATAATTTATTAACTAACATTCTTTTTTATAATAAATAAAGCATTACTTTAATTATATAAAGAACTATAGTTTAAATAATCCTTTATATCTCTTTAAGCTTCTTCTATGTTGTTAATAGCTATGTGTACATAGTAAGCTATATTACCTATTAGTGTAGTATATGTTCTAGGATTTATTTATAAATGCATTATTTTGTTAATTAATTATAACCTAAAGTGCTAAACAAAGGTTACTATATAGTGCCTTATATATAGGCTTAATTAAAAACATTACTTATTTAAGTTTAAGTTACCCTTAGCATG